GAAAGGCTGAGGGAGCTGGGCCTGTTCAGCCTGGAGAAGAGAAGACTGAGGGGGGATCTCATCAATGTGTACAAGTATCTGAAGGGAGGGTGTCAAGAGGCTGGGGCCAGACTCTTCTCCGTGGTGCCCAGGGACAGGACAAGAGGCAACGGGTGCAAACTGAAACGCAGGAAGGTCCATCTGAACACGAGGAGAAACTTTCCTGTGAGGGTGACAGAGCATTGGAACAGGTTGCCCAGAGAGGTAGTGGAGTCTCCTTCCCTGGAGATATTCAAAACCCATCTGGACATGGTCCTGTGCAATGTGCTCTAGAGGACCCTGCTTGAGCAGGGAGGTTGGAGTAGATGATCTCCAGAGGTCCCTTCCAACCTCAACCATTCTGTGATTCTGTTCTGTGATTCTGTAACATTGAAGTAATGTCCTGCAGAATTAGCATGCGTGAAAGTTGTCAACCATCAGTGAGACTGGATCTTGATTTTCGTTGCATATATTAAAATGTGAAAAGCCTGAGCTTAAACTGCAGACCTGCACCTAAAGTTAAGAGTGTCTTTAAGGAAAATCAGTTGGAGAAGTGTCAAATAGTGAAGTTGTCCAGAGCGGGAGTTGAGTGGTTTGACATACTTGATTTTGTCAGATAAACTAATTAAGTATTCGAAGTATAAAATTAAACATATCTTAAGGGCGTCAAAGTTACCATAACATTTAATGTAACGTTTTGTGCAGAGGGGAAGAAAGATCTTCTGGTTTGAGGATGTGGGGGGATTTCTGTACTCCCATTGCTTCTTTTTTGAGTGATCAGTTTGCTGCACATTGTCATCTAAACCATTCCTATGGTGAATCATACGTTTGATTTTTATTTTCAGGAATGACTGGATTCGTGTTGGTCTCTGTTATCAACCAAATACAAATTTTGTTATAGTATTGGAAACCTTTCAAAGGCAGTCATCTGCTCTGTCGAGCAAGATAGAGCGTTATACACCTGTATCTTCAATGCTGGAACTTGAAAAGAATCGATCAGACAAGAAGTTTTATTTTGACAACAGTACTGGGTAACTCCTTGTAGCTTGGCCCTACAGGAAGGCATGCTGTTTAACCCTAAAATGGCCAGTTTGATACTGTTAAAATCAACTGTGAGATATCCACATAAGAGGAAAGTGATTTCAAAGGAGCCCAAAGCATATGTGAAAGAATACTTTGCATGACTTCTAATTTCCAAAATACAGTGGTTGTCATTTAAAATATTTTTCCAAGAATACCACAGTTGTCACAGCTATTTCCTGTCCCAAGCCTGGAGAAAACATGGTATCTGGAGTGCTGCAGAGCAGTGTCTTTCAGAAAGTAACTTAGTTACTTAGTCTTTTTTAAAAAAAAAAAAAAAAAGTGCCCTCCTATTAAACTGAAATTTCTAGAAATTTCCAAAAAGGTTTTTGTTCCAGGAATGTTGTAAAGATGGTATGTACCCATTTTTGAAAGTACTACTCTGTTTGCAGACTCGTCTGAAGTACTTAAAAGTCCTAGTCTCCCCTTCAAAAATACTTCTGGCACTGTGACACTTCTTGGGAAAATTTAACATATGGTAAACTTACTAGAAAATTTCTACATACATCACTTGCATCTTTGCAAATTTTGTTTTTTAGTTTATAAGCAAATGATTAATACAGGGCTTTGTTCCCTTATATGTTACTCTGTCCATCTGTGGTAAATGTGCTGATGAATGTAGCTTTTTAAAAGAAACTTTAGTTTCCTTTGTCTAAAAGCTTCCATGATGACAACTAAATGATAAATGAATTATTATCAGTCTCTATGCCATGGGAACAATAATGACCACTACCCCCTAAAATGCATTTCCAGGCATTTGCTTAACATGCAAGAATGCAACTACGTTGTCCAGTGTTGGTGAGTGAAGGCAAATATCCAAACAGTTACTGCTGGGTATCTGTCAAGATCTATGATCAAAGAAAACATTTGTGCTCTGTTGTTTGTTTTTTGTTTCCTGCAAGCCTCTGTTTTGAGGAGTGGTTCTTCTTTTCAGAGCAGATTCATTCATAATGATGTCCCCTGTAATTGTTGAGGATTTCAGATATGTCAGTAGAGACTTCCTAATTCTAAATAAATACATAAATATTTCTGTAAATATTTTGAAATAGCTTAATTGTAAAGAAGTAAATGCTAATGTAAATACTGTTGTTTCCCTGCTTCTTAAAATCATGAAGTGTGGCTGTTAAGTTTTATGTAAATATGTATCTTTCTAGTAAATCATCTATTTTTTTTTCTTTTTCCATTGTTTGCATAGATTACTGTTTTTATTTCTTCAAGCCAAATATAATAGGGATGGTCACAGTTATTGCTCATCTCAGGGATGTGAAAGGATCAAGATTGTGACCAAAGATTCAGCAAAAGGGATCAGCAACTGCATGGCAAAGGCTTATCCAAAGTACTACCAAGGGCCAACTGTCATAAAGCAAATGCCAGTAAAAACTTCTGTACCATGCACAAAGTGTGGCACAACTCAGGTAAAATATATCATTATATTTATTGTCATTGCTAGTAATGGAAATAACAGCCTTGTTGATGATTAAATGGATACATTGGCTTTGGAGTATAGATTATTTGAGTACGTTAAGCCTGGTGCAATAAAGTGTTGATGACATCTACACATGTATACTTAGTGTTTTGTTTGATATCCAGATGGTATTCACCAGTGATCCTCACAAAAACTACCTCCTTGTGCAGATCAATTCTCCTGGTAAAAAAGAGTTGAGCAGAGGTCAGCAAGCATTTATTTCTGTAAGTATTGTTTATGGTTTTCTTCTAACAAGCTTTCTCTTCAGCAGTTTATATTACAATAGTTGTACAGCTTTACATAATGCTGAGCTCACTTCACTCAGATAACTGTTGGTTCATAGTTTAAAAGAAAAAAAAATCAAGCTGATGTTTTTACCTCAGAAAATTAGGCTCCAAAGTCCTCCATTATGTACTCGAATCTTTTGCTGCTGGAGAGAAAATTGTACCAGTAAAGAAGAGTTTAAAATCTGCAGATTTCTGTTAAAATCTGACTTGTTATACATTTGTTGATGGCTGCTTTTGAAAAAAATGTTTGTTTAAATAATCCATTTTGCTGAAATAATTTTTGTGCTAACAGATGACTGACTTTAATGGGACAAGTCATTCAAACCATTAAGCTTTAGTTAAACTCCTTCAAAGCTGCAATTACAGAAGAATCCATAGAGATTTCTGTATTTGTTCTGATGCTGTACTGATGTGTGTAGTGATGTGATATTGCATAAAACTTGGTTTACTTTGATTTTTTTTTTTTTGTTCTGTTTGGAAGCTGAGGGAGACTTTTACGTGATGCTGAAGATAGAATTTGCAGGTATCCTCATGCCACGAAGCTTAAAGTCTGTATGTGATTTGCATCCTGCGATTTAAATGCATTGTCTTGGTTGAAATAGTAAAACTCTGAATTATCTAGATGGACAAATTGATTGTGATCTGTTAGCACAGCAGTCTTTACACAGAAGCTGCAAACTTAGGGGCCTTTTTGTACACTATCAAAAGCAATAAGAGCATTTCATGGGAAAAACGAGGCTAAAACTGGGATTGCCGCAGAGACAGATCAACTGAGCTTTTGCAAGAAGCGCAGACAGTTCAGTATCTGAATGTTAGCTTCCCCAAATGGGAGAACTTACCAAGGTGGGCAGTAACTCACCTGAAATGTATGATCTCCACATAAAAGCAGGTGACTCAAGACTCCCATGCAATTTTGGAAGTCCCACTGAAAGTCTCTTCTCCAGAGGAAAAGTGAAGAGATTCTAATGAGAAGCAAGTGTTTTGGGGAAGAGTTGTACACCATTGTGTCTAAAACAGATGAAGATAACTTTGAGTGCAGTAGAATAGCTGTTGAAATCATAGGTAACTTTAAAAAAAAATTGTGTTTTTTCCCTCCCATCTTTTTCTCCTCCTATTCAGGTCAATGGCACTATGTTTTCCCTCAAGGATAATGGTATACTTATTGTTGTAGTTGATGCCTGCATTGGCACAGTGTCAGAAAATAAATTATTTTCTGAAGTAGACATTAAGCATGTAGATGGATATTTAAAAACTGGAATTCCACAAAGGTATGTGTAATGACCATTTATTTACAGTATGTCCTGTAAACTGTAGTTCTACGTGGAAATATTTTGCTCTCTAACAAGGATTTCACTAACTGTGTTTATACATAAGCACTAAAAGTGAACCAAACGTATGTAAGTTGAGGGGGAACAAGAGAAATACAGGAGCATTTTAACAGTTTTTGTCAGTGCACTTAAATGACCTTGTTAAACCATAAATAGCTATTCTTTTAAGCTAAGAAATGTTATTGCATGATGTTTAGTTAAGGAAATTTACTTTTGAGGTGGAAGACAGACAACACTGGAAAATTCTAAGTATTCCAAATTTGAATTGCTTCATTTGAGAAAATCTGAAACTATCTAAAAATCTGAACTACATCACAAAATGTTATACTGTTAGTGAGTGACTTTTCTCTCTCATCCAGGGAGAAAACTACTCATTGTTAAACCTATCTTAAACAAAGATAAAAAGTTAGCATCAGAAAAATCAACTTTCTAATATTTTAATTTTGTATCAATATTTTCATGTGATTTTTGATACAAAAATATTTATTCATTAAACAAACTGTATTTTAACCACACTTCCAAATGATTTTTAAATTAATCTTAAAAGTCAATTTTGTTTTTTAATAACAATTACTTTCTAAAATGGACAATTTTCTAAGAACCCTTTTCCAGAGAATGTTGTCTATCTCCATGTGTAGTGTTACCATGAGTATTATTAAGCAAGTGGACTATTGGGCCAGCTAACTGTAAAAGCATGCAACAAAGTATTCAGAAAACTTAGTGTTTATAACTATTGCTATCTCTGCATTGTTTCTGATGCAGGTCTATAGTTCTGCTGAGCACAAGAGGTGATATAGACAGTCCTAATATATCAGAAGCCTTAATGTCCCTGGGGACAGCCAAACTGCCTTACCTTCAGAGCAATGGTTGGTGAAGTTTTGCACGTTTCTCTTCTCAGACTTTTTTTCAAAGCCTAGATTTTGTGCCTCACCCAGCAAATCCGAGGGATTTTGGTTCTATTTTTAAAAGCTTCCTTGTGCCAGTCTAGCGCTTCCTGTTCTAACAAAATCTGAATGTAGCAATTAGAAGCTGTTGGTATTTTGAGGGACAATTGCTTTATAGACCACATGGTCTAGAGCACGCTCTACCTCGCCGCTCCAGTCCGTTCAGGACCCTGGCACAAGTCCTGTATTGAGACAGCAAGTTTATAACTGTCATGCAAGCTGTGTTTTCAAATAAAAATTTTAAAATATTTAATACCAAATGACAGAAAAACGCAAATTAGTATTTCCTTGTGAGTTGCACGGGAAGCTGAGATTGGATTAATGCACCAAGGAGTCCTGGGGGGAGAATATCACAGCAGTGTGTTATTCTCTTCCTGAGCCATTAGTGTGTTGTACTTGAATGGACTTAGCTGCTCCTGTAATACTGAGCTTTTTTTTGTCACAGGAAGCATGGCCTTTCTAGGCTTCAAAGGAAACTTTAAGCCATCCTGGATTAAACTGTTTACTGGTCCTGCTGGGCAAGGGCTAGTTCAGATAGAAAAGTATATCCCTTTACAACTGGAAGAGTATGGCTGTGCCAGAGCTATCAAAAGCCGACGGAAAGACCTGGAGCTTCTAAAGAAGGCTACAAGATCTCATTAAAGACCAAGATGTACATAAATGCTGGGAGGAAAAAAATGTGAAGTAACTTATTCTTAATTTATGGCATTTTAAACTATATTGTTATCCAAGTAAATCACATTATTGTTTGACAGACGTTTACCAACATTGACCACTTGAATGCCAGTCTGTGCACCTTCTAGTTGTGCAAAATATTAAATTATTTATTAGTTATTTGTATAAACAGGTTTCAGAGATTTTTTCAGATGTTTATATTTACTGTAAACAAATTCCTTCTGTTTAATACTCCTTTGTGTTTAAGAGGGTGTTCAAAAAAGTCTTAAAAGTTTTGATAGCAGGTATTGGAGTGCATCTTGGATTACTTGAAAGATTAACATTAAAATCTCTTTCTAAACAGCTTATTCTAAACAGTCATCTTAACTTAATTTGCATTTTCCCTCTGCCGTCTACGTGTTTTTCTGAGAGGTCATTTAGCAGTCAGCTCAGTTACATTCTTTACCTACTTTCCAAGATATTAAAGAGCAATTCCTCTTCTGCATGCAGCTTGGGCTCAAGGGGTTTTAACCGCAGTGACATTTTTGCTTTGCTGTATGAAAGATGGAGAGGAGGGTTTCCAAGATCCAGCCCAGGGCAGGGGGTTATGGACTGCTCAACAAAGATTGCCAGGACTATCTGCACCAGTGTGGCATACGGAGCAGGGAAAAACTGCAGCTCTTCAGGATCACTGTTTACCACACACCCCAAAATATGCAGGAGTCTGTAAGAGTTACTTCAGTAATTAGTCTGGGTATTAAGGCTTTTTAAAGCTTTTAGCCAGCAGGGCAAACCTGAGAAATCGCTTATTACTTTCAATTTCTTATGAAGCTAAACTTCTTCTCTTGCAGTGATTTTTAAGGCTATCCCAGATCTAACTTTAGGTGAAGGAAGTAGAAAGTGCTCTCAGTTCATTGTTAGACATGTTACATCTTTTGCCTTTAACTTTGACTCTCTTAGTATATTCAAGTTGATATTTGCTATTAGTTTTATATTAGACCTGTTTGGTTTCTTCTGATTTTTGTCACACCTATTTGACCCTTTCTGGGTCAAACACATTTAGAAGAACTGAGACACAACTGCCCTTTCTTGGGACCTAATCTTTGAAATTAAATTTCAGAGACTGTAAAGGTGCATTCATAATAGGGGTGCAATAGAGCTAAAATGTAACTATGGTTCTAATACAACTGACATGCACCTGGGGAGGAATAACCCCATGCCCCAGGACAGGCTGGGGGCTGACCTGCTGGAGAGCAGCTCTGCAGAGAAGGACCTGGGAGTGCTGGTGGACAACAAGTTGACCATGAGGCAGCAGTGTGCCCTTGGGGCCAGGAAGGCCAAGGGTATCCTGGGCTGCATGAGGGCTACTGAGATGATGAGGGGACTGGAGCACCTCTCCTATGAGGAAAGGCTGAGGGAGCTGGGCCTGTTCAGCCTGGAGAAGAGAAGACTGCGGGGGGATCTCATCAATGTGTACAAGTATCTGAAGGGAGGGTGTCCAGAGGATGAGGCCAGACTCTTCTCCGTGGTGCCCAGCAACAGGACAAGAGGCAACGGGCACAAACTGAAACGCAGGAAGGTCCATCTGAACATGAGGAGAAACTTCTTTCCTGTGAGGGTGACAGAGCACTGGCACAGGTTGCCCAGAGAGTGGAGTCTCCTTCCCTGGAGGTATTCAAGACCTGCCTGGACGCAATCCTGGGCAATGTGCTCTAGGTGACCCTGCTTGAGCAGGGGGGTTGGAGTAGATGATCTCCAGAGGTCCCTTCCAACCTCAACCCTTCTGTGACTCTGTTATTCCATGTTCCCTACTGAAAATCTCCAATAGATATCCATCTTCAAACAAAAATCTGCAAGTTTGCTATTGAATAAAAATCTGAGGCTCAGCCACACTGGTTTTGAGCGTGACCGAGGACTGTATTTTAATTGGCCAGCGATGACATTCTCAGATAGCTCTGGAGGCACAAACTCTCTTGCCATTTTACTTAGTAATTAAAAACACAAAGGCAAAAACCTCAGAAGCTGCTGTTTCTTGAATAAACTATAGCAACAATGCATTGGAGACTGGGAGAAATTGGACTCCTACCTCTTCACCAAGCACACTTCACTTCTCACTTCGCTAGTTAGGTCACTTTTTGTAAAGCTGTGCTTTAATCAAAGTAACAGCTATTAGTCTGTGGGCTCTAAAGAGCATATTTGCATGACAATAAAGAGCTTAGTTCTGTCAGTGCCAGATCGAAAAGCACAGGTAGAGACAGAGGATAGTAACTGCACTGGGATATTTGGTGCCAGCTGATGATTGCAATAACAACCTGCTTCAAACGCATAGTGGCAGGCCCTTGGCCTCTGCCTGCAGAGCTGTTTATTCCTAAACCAATGTTTATGTAACATCTTTAGATATTGTGCTGGGGGCTCACGTCCCACATGTTTCCCAGCATGGCATATCCAAAGGGGCAGTTTTCACATATGTCACATGAGTCCTTTCTTCCTTGCCTGCTCCAGAGGTCTTCCTCCCCCATCAGTTTTTTTTGAGATGTCAAATGTCTAACACTCATTAGTCAACATGAGTTCAGCCTTAAACATCCATTTAGATGTTCTTCTCTCTCCTGGTCTTAGTCATTGTGGTTTCCCACACCCATTAAGGAAAAAGGCAGTCAGCAAAAAGGCAGTTATTATTAACTCTTCCTCATCCAAAGGAAGGGCAAAATTAAACCCTAACTCTGCATAGGTATCTAGAGAACACTGATAAAAATCAAGTTTGTCATAATTTACATTAACTATTTAGATAGACTGCCACTAATTTTCAGTTACTTTCCTCTGTCTGTATAAGAGAAAGACATTTGACTGGCATTTATGTCTGCGTTGGTAGTGTCAGCAAAGCTCTCTGAGGCTTTTATTGTGGGACACACCGAACAGTTTACAGAGCTGAGCAGCAAGGTTAGAATCAAAATGGTTCCATTACAGTAAAGGGAAATCCTAAGGATCTTAAGGGCATTTTTATTCTCCCAACTATTTTTATTCTTTGTACATTGAATAGGAATTATGATATTGTTATGCCTGTATTTTTTGGGGGGGGAGTGGTTTTTTTTTTGCTCAGGGCTTTTGATTTCAGCAGAGGGCACTGTGACCTTACTTAAAACTCAATCTTTTAATTGGGCCACTTAGGGAATGGAAAAAATTTATAACATTTCAGTCCTTAAATCACAGGGTTACGTATACAGAATTTATTTATTCTCCATTTAAATCACTCCCTCATCATCCTGGCTAATAGACTGGAAGAAAGCAAGAAAAACCTCTTCATGGAATTAATAGATTAAAAAAACACTAAGCAAATTTTTCTTTCATAGGAGAAAATTGGCTAAATAAAGGCCTGGACTGTTTTCCTCTAGGGTAACATAGTTTCCCACTGTACAATCCCCAGTGGAGGGATTTTAACAAAGCCTTTCCAGCAGCAGCTATATCAGAGGATTTAGATTATTAAATATCTAGGAATCCTCAGCTATTCCATCAGTAAGCAGGTCAACTAATGAAAAATATCTTTGTCTGCAATTTGTACCACTGTTGCTGAAAATGTGTCTTTACGGGATTTTAAAGTTTTTGCTTGTGATTATTTTATTTTAAGAACAAGTATTATGCTTATTCAACTATTAAATGACTTATTCATGCACAGTTAATTGCAAACTGATATCCCACAAAATCTATGTTCTTTAATACCCAATTGTCTAAATATTCATTGCCTCATATTGATTAATGACACTGTTATAATATATGGTATATATAAGGTATTATATATATATTTTTTATATATACACACATAGATATAGTATTAGCAATAAAGCAGGACTGAGGCTGCTTAAACACCCTCCAACTGTTTTAGTGAGTAGATTAGTCATGAACTTCTGAATTCATCAGTTGATAAATATTTTAAATTTAGCATCTGCCCTGAATTTGAATTCAACCTTTAATTGGGCTGTTTGGCCATGGAGGGAGTCTGTGGCCTCACAGATGTGGGGCATGAGGCACCAGGTTTTGCAGAGGTTTAGTGGCCAACCTGTGCCCAGGCGCCGAGGGAGGTGGGCTTTGTCAGACTGCTCAGCTCCAAGGGATTGCCGAGAGGGAGAAAACCGTGGCCATGGCTTTGTGTGTTGATACTCCTCAGCTTCCCACACACTGCCGTGTGTCTTCGCAGCCAAGACCCCAGGTCAGGCAGGCTGAGGGATGTGCGTGGGTCCCTGAGAAGGATCTGTGGGGGACAGTGTTGGCTGTTATTCAACATATGGAAATACTGAACTTTGGTAGAGTTAATAATATCAAAATCAACTATTGTCCAGACATCCCTCGATGATGGAAAAGGAGAGTTTATATATGGTATTGCGCTACAGAATTTTTGAGTGCAAATGATGGCTATGCATGTTATATAGATAATTGGTTCAGCTCTTGCATTTCTATGGGGAACAAGATTTGTAATAAGTGGCCTTTAGTAAAAATACTTAAGTACATGAAATGCAATTGAAGTGCATTGACTGGTTTTGTTTATGCAAATTGGGTACTCTGTACTGCATGTTTATAAATACAATCAACATAACAATCACTAGCACATATAAATCACATCCCATATTTAACAGTCTGTATACAGATACCTAATTCTTATTCTACCCTTCCTAAGTGTAAAATTTTTATTCCCCTCACTTAACTGATGGAGAAGTGGAAGCAGAGGTGTGTGTGTGTGATGTTTTTCTCAGTACTACACACACTCAGGTTTGCTGTAGATCTGAGATTAGACTGCTGAATTGCAAACCAGGAGTGCTCTTCAGCAGCGTGCATTGTTTCGTTTCTCAAGACAAGCCCTTCTGATAATAGAAACTCCCAGACCAGAATAATGTTCTGGGAACAGGACTAGTGGTTTCTGAAGTATCTATCATAAAATCTGTAGGTCATGCAAGGTATATGGATGGTGTCCCCTTTCTGCATGCCAGTGGAAATGTATCTTTGGAGGAATGATTTAGCTGATGTTAGCTAAGGAAGAAGCCAGGCCATGTAGCTGTGGAAGGTGCTCAGTGCCTTGCAGCAGTGAACCTCAGGTCTTCTGTGATCTTCTGCACTCACCTGTTGTTCTGAGGGCAACC